CTCTCTCTCTCTCTCTCTCTCTCTTGATTGATGTAAATAACATTATTATCCTCTCATTGATTGAATGAATGAATGAATGAATGAATGTTTCGAAGTTTTACCATTCATAGTCATCATTATTATTATTATTATTATCATTATTCATGCAATATCGCTACAGGAAAATGAAATGATCAAAAGAATTTTGACTGTAAATTCTAACATTACAAACTGAATGAATGAAAATGGATTTCAACTTTTTAAAAAGGTTTGATTAAAGCAAAGTTTTGTTTGTAGCCATTTTGGATTGGATTGTTGATTTGCCATCGAATAGTTTAATTCCCAAGTGTGTCTATCTTGTTTTCACTCATTCCTGGATCGACATTTGCTTATTGGAACTTGGCAACCAAATGACAATCTGGAACTTGCAGAAAACCCAAAAAAATTATTAACCCTTTCCTCCCCTCCAACAAAATACCCCTTACATGAATATTCATAAAATTCTGTCTAGGAAAAATACAGAATGATCTTCTTCTTTTTTTTGATATTTTTGCTTTTGTCCTGTTTTCACTTTTCACAAATCAAGGCTATATGTTTATCTATTGAATCAGGGCGAGAGAAAAAAAAATGAAACAAACAAACAAAAACCCAAACAACAAACAAATTTAAATGATTTTTTCCCATTTGGATCAAAAACAACAAAACAAACAAACTTTATTTGAATTTGAAAAATAAATAAACAAAAACAAAACCAAAAAACCAAACACCTTATGACAATAATGAACTTGTTTTTCTCCATTTCCTTTTGCGAATCTTATTTACCTATACTGATATACCTCTGATATACCTGAATTGTTTTTGGTTTCCATTTCGTTTGGGTTTTCCATTTCGTTTGGGTTTTTCATTTACATTTTCATTTGGTCAAATAAAGTCTTCATTTTCTCGTTTTTGTTTCTGATTGATCACGAAATTAATTTGATGATTTTGTTCAACGGAATCGCTGTCGTTAAATTGATTAAAATCAACCACCGTTACTGCTACTGAAGTATTATTAGAAAATGAATGAATTTTCCATTGAAAACATTTTGAATAATAAAAGTTTTTTTTTTGGGTTCATCCGAAATCCAAATCTGATATGATGGTTGATACGAAGTGCAGTGACAAAGAAGAAAAACACACAGTTGCTATTCACAATCATACGGGTGAGATCCATTTGGTCAAACATTGGTCATCCGTTTCTGATTCTGATTCGGTTTGTTTGTTTTTGTGTTCAATTGTGAAATTATCATTTGATTGGTTATTATCGGTTTGANAAGAAGAAAAACACACAGTTGCTATTCACAATCATACGGGTGAGATCCATTTGGTCAAACATTGGTCATCCGTTTATGATTCTGATTCGGTTTGTTTGTTTTTGTGTTCAATTGTGAAATTATCATTTGATTGGTTATTATCCGTTTGATCGGTGTATTTGAAAAAAACAACTGGAAAAAAGCAACAACAAAATTACCTGCCTGCCTACCTTGTTTGCATTATGATTATCGGTTGTTTTTTTTCTTCTTCTTTTGTTTATTTGTCCAGCATATAATTACAAATGACAATGAAAACAAAACAATGGAACCTATAGTGTTAATTTGAAATTCCAAATAACACAGAGCAAAACCTACATGTTTTATGAGCTAAATTCGAATTCAAATTGTTCAAATTGATAAATATTTTCTTTCATTTTTTCTTCTTCTTGTTTTTGTCAATGTTTTCTTTACTTACTTAGTGCTTTTTATCTACCTTAGTTTTTTATTTTCACTTTTCTTCTTGGAGGAAAGTGACAATCTTTGTGTGTGTGTTTGAGCTGTCCCAATTTATTCTTAATTTTGTTTTTCGTTTTTTCTTTTTTCACGAAAATGAAAATTAGATTTTCAATTATCATTTTTTCTTTTTTGGTTCATTTGGGAATTTCAAAACTAAATAAAATATTCAACAGTATCATCATCATAATGATGATGATCAATGTTCATTTTTCCATTGAAGAAATTTGATATCGATTTGATGGCAGCAATCGTCACTTTCTTGTTCAGTTTCTCTCTTCACTCTGCTTTGTAGCCATAAAATTGCCTTGAAGCCAAAATTAACGGCAGATGTTATGCAAATGTTTTCTTAACTACAGAAATATCCTTCAAAATAATAAGCCAAATGTAGTTTACATTAGCAGATAAGCAAAAAACCTAAATATAATTTGTTTTTGCTGTTTGTTTGTTTGCTGTTGTTGAAAGTCTATTGGGAATTATCTGGATTGTGATTTGATCCAATTATTAACCAGAATAGGAATTCTTGGATCAAATTCTTCAATTCGAAAGAAAGAAGAAGGAGGAAAAATTCCTTTAAATTTTCGGCAAACAATTTCACCAAAAAATTTTTGGTTTTCCGAACAACCAAAAATAAAAATTCAATGATCAAATAATTGTGGGGGGAAAAAGGAAAAAAATTGATTTGATATTTCTATTTTTTTTGTGGTGGTGGGGGGGAAAACAATACTTATAACCAATCAAATCAATTGAATGCGCGCAAACAAACCAAAAATCGGTTTATTTATGATGATGATGAGGCGGATCTAAAGAGGGAGAGAGAGAGAAATGCGGCGTCGTTGTATTGTATTATTATTGGCCACAAACATGGTGATGAACCCGGCATTCTCTCTCTCTCTCTCTCTCTGGCAATGAGAATGATTGCTGAGGATTCATATTTTTTCGGAAGTAAAATCCACACACACATATTACATACATATTACACGAGAATTGATGAAATGACGTGCGCGGCTTTTTTTTTAATCATCACTGTTTAAAATGTTAATTACAATCAACGTCGGCGTCAAAATTTATTATTATCATCATTGCAATATGGTTATATACAGCCATATGCCATGAGAATATAGAGGTGGCGACGGCGACGATGGTATATTGCTGTCGTCGGCGTCATCATGGTTGCTGTCGTCGTATATCATTGGTTGGTTATAAAATCCGAGATTATATAAATAGCCTCATCAGAAGACATTCACTGTCATTTTTTACTGGTTAAAAAATTTGTATCCCGGTTACTTTTCTTTTTTGTGTGTGTGAAATGTTTGTTGCGACTATTTTAACGTTTTTGTAATAAAAAAAAGTTACCCAAATTTAAATTTTTTCTGTCAAAATTGTTTCCCAAAAATTATGATTGATCAAAGTATCAAAGGTGATGAACAACAACAACAACAACAACAATCGAACGATCAACAACAACAACAACAACAAATTATCCGATCAAACAATCAATATCAACAGTGTTTGATAAGTAAAGATTTTTCACCAACAACAACAACAACAACAACAATGAAAATGTCACCATCAACAACAACGAACTTTTCTAGAATTTTATCATCATTATTAAATGGTCATTCAAAAAGTATTTTATCATTTGATACTTTAAATTATCCTCATCATCATCAAGCGAAACATCCAAATTATCATCAAAATCACCATTTTCAATCATTGCATCATTCACATTCGCATCATCATCACTATTGCCATAATTCATCATCATCGAAAAAATTATCCAAAATCCTTATGGCCATTATAATGACCATAATATATGATTTATATTTCATTTCATCATTATCATCCACAACATCATCATCATCATTATCATTTGCATCATCCGCATCAATATTCGGAGGTGTACACGCTACACCAATATTTTCAAATGATCCATCAACGTTATCATCATCATCATTATCGTCGTCGACGTTACAGTCCAAAATGATTGTCAACAACAACAACAACAATGATAATAATCCCAATCAACTGATGAATTGGATTAGATTTTTAAATTATCGTTTACCGATCATATTGAAAACATCATTTTCAAACAACAACATTGATAATAATGTTGTTGTTGATGATGATAGTGGTAATAATAATGATGATGATTTGGATGTTGATTTTGATGGCCTAAATAATTATAAAGAAAAACCAATAAACATATTGTCGACGACTACGATAAAAAAATTACCATTATCAACAGAAGTAGTGGAAAAAAATGAAAAATTTATTCATAAAATGATCAATAATGAAGAAAAATCAAACTGGTAAGTTTTTTTTTGTAGATTCTTTTTTGGTGAAACAAAAAAGCAAAACAAATGCAAATTTAGGTCACAATCCCAACATGTATTCTGTTTGTTTAAGTGTGCCAAGATATCGCACTGAGATCGATTTGATTCGATTGATTTAATCCGATAAAAGCAATAACATAGAGAGAGAGAGAGAGAGAGAGAGAAAGTGATGATCATTTTAAGTAAAAAAAATTGTATCGGAAATTGGCTATCATCATTATTATCATTATCAACCGATTTCACTAAACTAAAAATAGCAAAGAATTTTTTGTTTTGTTTTTGTTTTTGTTTACATTAAAACAAAACAAAACAAAAAACAAAATCAAAATCATCATTATCAATTGTAATTCGATGCCCAAGTAATATGATCATCATATTCTTTGCTTTGCTTTTTGATTTCAATTTTGACAACCACCAACCAAGAGATTATTCCTCATTTCATTTCATTGTTGTTGTTGCTTCATTTTTGAATTTGACAAAAATTGATTTTTTTTTGGTCATCGATACAGATAAGATAGGAAAATTGCTACTCGAACTATAGTGAAAGTGAATGAAAGATAGAAAATGTGAATGAATTTTAATTGAAAGAAATCAATGTACGATTATGAAACGAAATGAAATGATGTTTGTGTGATTAGCCAAGTGCGTATTTGAAATCTCTAAAAACCAAGAAGCAAGAAAAGTAGCAAAAAAAAACGGAAACATTATGACAAGTTCAATCGATTTTCAGTGTTGGGCTAACCAATATTCAATCGATTTGATTCAAGTATCACTTTTCATTGTTTATAAAAAGGATTTTTTGTTTGACATTTTGATTTGCTCATGTTGTTGTTGATGAAAATACCCTTGTGTTTTGATTTGATAAATAACACTTGATTTTCTCATTGGTTTTGAACAGGCAGAAGAAAATTGATGAAAATGTCAACGACGATATTAATGACAATAACATTAATGAACGTAAAAAACGTAGCGGTATTGCTGATCAACGTTTAGCTGAATTATTAGAATTAGCTAGAATGGATATGATACGTAAATTAGTACGTGATAATAATCAAATCAAACATCATTCATCAATGATTGATGATGATGATATTGCCTATGGTCTTATTGATCCACATATTATGTAAGTTTTTTTTGTTTGTTTTTTGCTGTTTTCCATAATCCTTTGAATCCTAATCATTTCTTCCTCTTCTTTCTTCAATTTCTCTTCAAATTCATTCATCCAGTGGTCGAAGACGATAAAAATCAAAAGAGTTTGATCAACCTAACCGTGGGGTTTTTTTCAACATCATCATCGTCATCATCATCAAATGATCAACAGCAACAGCAACAACATTTTGGAGAGTTTTTTGTTTTCACCAAAAAAATTCAAAAAAAAAAAATCCAATTTCCAAACATCATCCATTCATTCACACACACACACATGCACCAAATCAAACAAGAACAGCCATTCCTTTTTTTTCAAATATCATCAAAATTGTCACCTTTGATAAAAAAAAAAAAATTACAACCAGTATCACCGAGAGGAGGGAGGTGGAAGGGGGAGGGAGGAGAACAACACGCAAACCCACACACACACACACAACGAACAATTCTAGTCACAACCACCACCACTTTTATTCAATTTTTTGTTTTTTGTTTTTTTGATTGGTTTTGTTCATCCATCAAATTGATTGATTGATTGATTGATTGATGAAACAAAGTTACCTGGATAACATTGTCAAAACAGTATTAGATATGATGCAATATTGATATGTTTGTTTTTTTTCAAAATAATAAAAATTAATTTAATTAATTTAATTAAATTTTTAAAATTTTGAAAAATTTTCTTCCGGTTTTTCAAGAAAGTTTTTTTTTTGTCTACCCAAATGGAAATTACTTTTCATTGTTTTTTTTAGGTGATTAGTATTGGTTAATTTGATTACTGATGATGATCATCATTATCGATGTTTGGAACTTGGACACAGGTAAATTTTTGTTGTTGTTGTTGTTCTCAAATTATCATTATCATTTCCGAAATTCATTCAACAACAACAACAACAACAAACTTGGATTGGACAAAGTTTTTTTTTCTTTGAAAATAGCCATTTTTTTCCCCTTGTTTTTTTCCCTTGTTTTTGGCCGGTCGGGGATAAATAAAGTTTTCTGTTTTGCAATGAAAATGGATCAATTCTCGATTTGTTTCGAAAATGGCTTCGAAAAAAAGTTGGAATTGAAACATTCGTTGATAGAAATTCAAATAGCTTTTTTTTTGTAGAAAAAAAATTCCGATTGCCCTAATTATTCCTGAAATGTGATGAATAAAAAGATTTTCTACTTTCGTTCGATAATCATAAATATGGATAAGATTTCATTTCGTTTCGTTTTTTTTTTGTTTTTGGTTCCACATTTCGAAATAAAATAGAAAAAAAAACCTTGACATGAATGAATTTCTGGAAAGATTGCCAATGATGAACGCCATCTATTGGCAAAAAACGTCGACTAAATTCCGAAAAAAAATCATTTATCGTTCGTTTGGCGCCAAACACACTTAACCTGGACAGATCTTGATGTTTGATTGATTGAAAAAATGTTACCGAACAACAACAACAACAACACTGTCCCGAAGCTCAGTTCAAGCTTGTTTCTTTTTTTCATCAGCATCAACAGTTTTGATGAATGGCTAATTTTTCTTTTTAAAAAATAAATTTTTTTAATCAGAAAATTTTTTTACAAAAAAGTTGATCTAATTATCATTTTCTGAGGAAAATTAGCCCTACAAATCCTGACAGTAAACATTGATTTGCCATAGGGAAATTGACCAAAAAAAAAATGTTTGAAAATGAATTGCCCGAATCGTTTTTCCAGTCGAAACAAACAAAAAAGTATCACCATTTCTTTTTTGCACGCATAGATAATGATCGATACAATCGATTGATTGATTGATTGATCGGAAAAAAATCGAAAAAAAATCAACTGATTAACTCACCTGATATAGAAATTAAATTAATTATCAGCTAATCCAACCAACCAACCAGCCAATTATTAAAAGATTTTAAAATAACTGGAAGCTTCTGTTTTCAGACGAAAAAACCGAAAATCGAAAAATCAAAAATCGAAAAATCAAAAAAAATCAAAAACCACCACCGTTATATTTAAATGAATCAATCGAGCATGTAAATGACGACGATGACGATGACGACAACGTGTGAATTATCAACTTTTTCCGTTCATCGATTGATTGATTGATTGATTTGCAAGAAAAAAAGTTGATTTAATTTTCATTCATCTAACGACAGTTACCTTCTTCCTGTATCTTTTTTCCCCCCGTTTTCAAAGACTAATTTTAGGTAAAAAAAATACTACCGGTATTTTACAAAAAACAATGTCAAAACATTAAATTTTTTTCTTTTAATTGTCTTTATCATCACCTGGATAATTCAATTTACCCCGGTTATCGATCGATTATAATAATTGCTATGATCATCAGCGACAGACAGAATGAATTATATGCTTGTGGTTCATTCAATCGGGTGGCTGGTGGGGGGGGGTGAACAACAAAAAAACAACGGTACATTTCCTTTTCCTCATTCCGGTGGGGTGGTGGGTGGAAAACATCATTTCCGGCTAGTTATTCATTTTTTCAGTGGTAACGTTATTTATGAACCTGGACAGGTAAATTTAATTGACTTTTCATTTTTCTCTTCTTTTCTTTCATTTTATTTACCTGTGTTGCTGCTAATTGATATTTTCATTTTTTTGATCCTGGAACTATTTTTCTTTTGGATCAATCAATTTAAATTGATGGGATAATTATATCGATAGTATCGATAATCGAGTATCGATTTTTTTTCTGATCAGATCAATCGGTCACGTAATTTCCAGTTGATAATGTACATTATGTCATATGATATCCTGATGTTTTTTTTTCTATTCATATCGATCATATGGATATATCCGATCAATTATCGATCGTTTATAAATGAAAAAAAACCCATTATAAATAATTGTGGTATTACAACGACAGCAGCAACAACAACAGCAACAACGAAAAAGTGATAATCGTCGTCATCATTATCATCGTCATTTAAAATAAATCCTCAAATCCGCAACCGGGTTAATTAATTTAATTTTTACAAAAAAAAAATCTCCATTTTTGGTCAGAAAATAATTTGTATATCCGATTATCGATCAATGATATGATTTGATGATAATAACACTGGTTAGGCAATCCGCTAATCAAAGCCTAAAGGTTGTATTAATGATCGATTTTTTCTTCAAAAATTTTTTTCAGTTTTTCAAATGAATCGAATCGAATGACAAGTAAACCGAAAATAAAAAATATTCAAATCAAATTCACAAAGTACATGTTTGGTTGAAAGAAATAAAGGGTGTTCATATATTCATCGAATACTCATCACCTACGGTTATTATCAGCATCTTTTCGGTTGTTGTTGTTGTTGTTGTTGTTGATTATCATGATTAGCAAATGACAACAACAACCTGGTGATTAGCAAAAAAAATCAGATCAAATGATAATCATGAATGAATGAATGAATCCATCATACATTCATTAATTTGATTCAGATTTGAATTTTCTTCATAAATGAAGACAAACAACAACAACAAGAAGAAGAAGAAGACGAAAAACTTTGATGATAATGATGGTTTTCATTGTTCAGGTGGATTAATTGGATCCAAAAAAAATTTCAAAAAAGTGCTGAAATGAAATGTCTGAATCGGGTGGGGGAAAGAAAAGACAATAGCCTTGAGCCAGAAGAGAGAATCACCACAAAAAAAACTGAACCACTTTTTTTTCTTGATGATTTTCAGATAACCGAATCGATCTTGATCGATACATCGAAAACAAAATTGGACATTTTTTTTTTTTTGACGAAAATCATTTTGTTTTCACACGATCTGAGTGAAAATAGCAAAATATGATTTTTTGTTTTTCTGTTAAACTTTCGACCTTCTTTTTTTTTCTTGACCAATGATCATCAATGAGCATCAAAGAAAAGAAAAGTGAAGAGAAAATGATGATGATGATGAAAGTGATGATAATAATTCGAATCGAATTCGATCCAGCCACTCATGATTGAGCGACAATTTGAGTTAATATAGCCATCTTAATCATCACGATTGAAATCATGGCAAATGATGATGGCATAGTTTTCTTTTTGAATCTTTTGTTCTTTTTTTTCTTCAAAAATAAGAAAAAATCCATTGTTTTTTTTTTTGATGATCCTAATGGGCGTCGGTTGTTCTTTGATTACAAACGAAAATTTAAAGAGATAACCCTTTTGGGCAAGCAAATGAAATGAAAATATATTCATTGATGCGGAAATTATCATATGGTAAATCAGCTTTTTTGTGTGTGTGTGTGTGTGTGTGTGGACCAAAAGACTCAAAAACAAAAAGAAATATTCCTTAACTTTTCTATAGGATTTTTTAAGATCAAAAAAAACATTAACACTTTCGCTACCGCGGAGGTTTGGAAAAACACATTGAACCAAAGCAAATGAATATAGCGAAAGTGTTAATTTGTGTGAGATTTATTCGATTCCCTGATGATAATCGAATACAACATCAAGAACAAAATTTACCTTGAAACAAACAACTGATTTTATCAATTATTTAAGACAACGAAATCAAGTCCAAACTTGACTTTGTTTGATTGTTTGGTTGTTAGTTCGATTGATATGTTTGATGAAAAACAAAAACCTTTTAATTCAGTTTGATCAGTTACGGATATTATTCATTTATGATATTAATAATTATCTTGTAAAAATCACCACCAACAACAACAACAAATCAACAACAGCAGATTTATCTCAAATGATAAACAACAACAACTTGTTATTGGATTGATGAAAATGCTTGACCGAAAAAAAAATTGAACAAAAATCTAGATCGTTCCAAGTTTATTGGGGGAAAAAAAAGAAAAAAAAACATTCGTGATTTTCAAACATTAAACATACACACACTATAGTTGATAGTCAATAGTCATGCAATGTCAAAATGATCCAGTTTTTGTTTGTTGTTGTTGTTTGTTTGTTTGTTTCTGATAAATGTTGTCCACAATCATGCCAACAACAACAACTTATCTACGATATGACGACCCAATGAAATTTATCTTTGAAAACTTGATTAGAATTTGCTGTTCGGTTCGGTTTTGGCTGAAATTGGATTTGCNAAATAACGATGATGATGATGGCATAGTTTTCTTTTTGAATCTTTTGTTCTTTTTTTTCTTCAAAAATAAGAAAAAATCCATTGTTTTTTTTTGGATGATCCTATTGGGCGTCGGTTGTTCTTCGTCGATTACAAACATTTAAAGAGATAACCCTTTTGGGCAAGCAAGCAAATGAAAGATATATATTCATTGATGCGGAAATCATCATATGGTAAATCAGCTTTTGTGCGTAAGGACCAAGAGACTCAAAAACAAAAAGAAATATTCCTTAACTTTTCTATAGGATTTTTTTAAGATCGAAAAAAAACATTAACACTTTCGCTACAGCGAAGGATTGGAAAAACACTTGAAACCCAAAGCAAATGGGTCGCTGGTAAAAAAAACGTGTTAATTTGTGTGAGAGATATATTCGATTCCGAAAGGGAGATGTCAATCATGGCTGCTATCCAATTCCCTGATGATAATCAAAAACATCAAGAACAAAATTTACCTTGAAACAAACAACTGAAAACCTTTTAATTCAGATTGATCAGTCACTGATATTATTAATATTAATTATCTTGTGAAAATCACCAACAACAACAACAACAAATCAACAACAGAAGATTTATCTCAAATGATCAACAACAACAACAACTTGTTATTGGATTGATGAAAATGTTTGACCGAAAAAAAAATTGAACAAAAATCTAGATCGTTCCAAGTTTATTGGGGAAAAAAAGAAAAAAACATTCGTGATTTTTAAACATTAAACATCAAACATACACACTGTTGATAGTCAATAGTCATGCAATGTCAAAATGATCCAGTTTTTGTTTGTTGTTGTTGTTTGTTTGTTTGTTTCTGATAAATGTTGTCCACAATCATGCCAACAACAACAACTTATCTACGATATGACGACCCAATGAAATTTATCTTTGAAAACTTGATTAGAATTTCTGTTCGGTTTTGGATTTGCCATTCATTCATTCATCAAATTATGGTCATTATTGGAATTCAAGGTTTCATTTTTTTTCTTCAAGTAATGATATCGACAAGGAAGTGATGATGATGATGATGATAATGGTAATGGTAAATAATTATTATCATTATCTCGACGATAATTGTTTTGATAATTTTTTTTAATTTTTTGATTTATTGAATTTACAACAATATTGATATGACCTGTATAATCGATATTATCGATGTTTTTAACAATCGATACTATCGATAATATTTGGTCAAAACGTTCGAAATTCGAAATTCGAATGATGGTCGGATGAATTATCCTGGTTTTGAATGAATGAATGAAAATCCATCCATGAAAGTTATTGTCATTGTGGATTGATTTTTTTTTATTTGGCCACGATTAGCTTGAAGCATTAGCCTTGTTTTGTTTTGTTTGTGTTGTTTATCGTTATCGTCATCGATGGAGGAAAAAAACAACATTTTTTTTCTTTTTTGATTATTAAATGATTTTGATCTACTTTGATTTTGAAAAAAATGAAAACAATTTTTCCGCTTGTCGGTCGGTCGATCGATTGATCGATTTGATCGGTTTTTTTTAATTTTCATTAATTACAATTAATAAATTGTCGTTATCGTCATTTTCTTTGCATCACATCAGTTCACAAACACACAGGTAAGTCATGTCTCTTTCCATAAAGATTTTTGATCTTCATTTCTGCAGAAAAAAGAAGAAAAAGAAACTTGAATGAATGAATAATCAAATGGCTCTCTCACCTGAATTAATTTCAAAATTTGACAATATTTTTTTTAGGCAAGTAGAAAATGATAACTTGAATTCATCCAGTTTTTTTTTGATTTGTTGATTTGGTTTCTCTTCAATCAGTTTTCCCTTTTTTTTTCAATTTGCACCTTGATTTTTTTGTTTTTTCGCGCTCTCAAAAAATCCAATCCAGTCCAGGTATATAAAAAGCTTGATGGATGTTTTCTTTTTTCGTTCGTTCGTGTGTATGTTGTGTGTGTGTGTCAGTGTGTGTTTTCTTACTTGGTTTTTTTTAAATTTGAATTTGAATTTGACCGGATCAACCGACAATAACATTGTGAACATCAAGTGTTGAAAAATCAGTGCAAAGAAAATGAATTGATTGTTTTTCTTGGGATCTTTTATCAACAACAACAACGAAAAATTATCATCATCCGACATTGGTAAGTTTTTTTTTTTTGGTGATTCGAATGAGCTATTTAAGTCGAAACGGGCAATTTTTGCGGTTGAAATAGAATTATCAATTTACGAACAAAAAAAAAAGTTTTGATTTTTTTTAACAACAAAAATTGTGATGAAACTTTCAACAAAAAGAAGTTTCATCATGAAAATTTTGTTGTTGTTCCAAATTTGATTGAGAATTTGGAATGATGATGTTGTTGTTGATTTCGTTTGAAACTATGTTAATGATCTTTGTGTACTTACTTTCTTTACTTTTTCTCGTTATGAAATTCACATAGATTCGAATCATTTGCAAATTTGCAATCAAGTGATTACACATTATTGTTTGGATGAATAAATTTGTTGTTACCGAAAAAAAAGAAGAAGAAATGCTGATGAAATTTAACTGAAACAAATTTCCAAAAACCTTGATCTTATTATTCAATCATTTTCGTAATATAATTTTTTGTTCACTCTTCACTCTTTTTTTTTTGTGGTCCAAATTAATTTACAATCATGGTAAATATCTTTTCTTTACATTTTTCTAATGATTTCAAATGACATTTTATTTATGTAAAATTCAAGGCTTCCAAACAGATGATCATCATTTTGATGTTTATTACGTTGATATTTTTCAATGTTTCCAATGCTGTTAATAATAATGGTGAAACATCCACTATTTCATCATCATCGACAACAACAACAACAGCAAGAAATGATGAACAACAAAATGATCAGATAGCCAGTCCATCAGATCAAGTAGATGAAACAAGTACTGATAAAAGCAGCTCATCATCATCGTCTTCGGCAACTAAACCACAACAACGAACTGGATCGGTTGAATCATCGAACAGTGTTACATCATCACCATCTAATTCACAAAGATTATTACAGCTTTTACAATCAACTGAACCAGGTAGATTTATACCTTTGTCAAATCAAGAAATTGGTGATGGACATGTAACAATGATTGGTTATACAACACCTATTGTACGTGTTGGTGAACCAATACCAATTGAACAATATTTACGTGAACAACGGCAATTTCATGAACAACATCAACAACAACAACCAATATTACAACAAGGAGAAATTTCCAGAATTTTAGAACGTTTAAATCAAAAATTTTATTCAAATAATAATAATAATCCAGTAACTGAATCATCATTAGCTAGTTCAGCACAAGAATCTACTGATATTCCACTTCGATTATTATTAACACCAAATCCATCATTAATGCAACAACAATCACATCAACGACAACAATTTATTGATTCACAAGGAACATTGTTTACATTGAATGATTTAAATCAAATTGTACCATCTTCATCATCACATTCATTTCAACAACAACAACAATCAGTCTCAAGACAAGATCAACAAGCTATCAACAATGCAAAATTATTAAATATACCGAATAGTAATTCATTGATGGTTGATCAAATTAATTCTGAATTTCAAAGTGGTATACCGGATTTTTGTAAGTTATTATTTTTGAAAACAAACAATGTAATTTTGATCTTTGCTTTAATTTTAGTGCTTAGAGGAGCTGCTCAATTGGATACAATTGTTCCACGTGAACAACAAGTCGCAACTTCGAGCGGATCACAACAACAACAACAGTTATCATTACAATTGCAACAACATCCGGCTGAACAACAACAACAACAACAATTTGTTCGACCATTAGATAAACCACGTCCATTCGTTGTTATGAAACCTGGTTTCCGTAATAATCAAAAATTATTACATCAAATTCAGATTGAACATCAACAATTACAACAACAACAACCATCATCGCAAACTTTGCAACAACAACATCAACCACAAACAGCTGCTGCAATTTCATCATCATCATCATCACCAGCATCACAATCAACATCTGAATTGGAAAATCCATTTTTGCGATTTAATCAATTGATTAGCGGACAACATTTGTTACGTGCACCACACGCCAGTCATAGTCAGATTCAAGCTCAACAACAGCCTCATGTTAATACGATATCTGGTTCAACACCGGCATTGTTTCAACATTTTTCTGCTCAATTACCCTTTGGACAGCCAGCTTTTCGTCCAATTCAAGCGGTTAGTCGTTTAACAAATGGTATTCATTCACCACAGCAGCAGCAACAACAACAACAACATTTTGGTCAAGCACATTCATCTTTTATACGAACACAGCCAACACAACAAGGACATGTATCAGGTTTATCATCACAATTAACAACTGCTAATGGTTTTATTCCATCACATCAATTACAACATTCGGTATCAAAAGAATCGTCCGCAATATCACAACAACAACAACCATCAATATCATCACAATTTTTTACAAATAATAATATTGTATCACCACAATCAATTACTCAACCATTTCATATTGCTAAAAAACAAACAGTACAAGTAGAAACAGTTGAAGGACCACCATCATCAAATATTGATACAAAAGCTGAATTACAGAATCAAATTAAACATATATTAGCATCATCACCAAATCTTTCAGAAGATTCACGTGCTAGACATCGTGAAGCTATATTTAAAGCAGTTCATTCATTAATTGAACCAACAACATCATCAGATTCATCATCATCATCAGCCAATCAACATAATCAAATTCAATCAACCGATTCGACATCATCGAATCTAATCGATACGGCTAATCGTTTTAACAGTTTTGAACCATTTAATCCAAAATCAATGTTATTTAATTTTCCAAATTCACAACAAGCACAACGATCTAATTTGATTAGTCGTCCAACACCATCTACATTGGCCTTATCATCATTATCATCTGGACAGCATCAACAACAAGCTAATATTGTTGGTATTCGGCCATCAACAACAACACCCGTTCAAATGAATCAATTTCAATTATCACCACTTGTACAACAATCGGGTAAATTACCATTCAATTTACTTTCACGATTTCCATCATTATTGCCTGGATTTCAATCATCAAATCATGGATTACTTTCATCACCAGCCGATACTAGTAAACAACAACCACAAGATCAATCATCAAATGATCATCGAATTCAGAATCAAATTCAAACATTTTTGCAACAACATGATCCACAACGATTACAATTGACGCAATCAACATCATCATCATTACAGCAACCGCAACAATCTCAAGAATTTACCAGTGGTTCATTTATGATTAATCAACCAATGTTTGGTCAGCCACAAACTCAACCGCAATCGAGTAACAATGCTAATCAACAATTTCAACAAAATATGGCCAAAATTCGTCTTGCACCAGGACTTATGTTAAGTTCGGATGATTCAACTGGATCTGGATCATCGGATGGTCAACAACGTCAAGTTCATACACAAGAAGGTGGTATTGTTATTACACGTGGTAAACCGATTCTAATGCCACCAGAAGCAAATAGAATTTCAGTAGTTAATCAACCTGATGATGATAATAATAATAATAATAATAATGTACGATTCCATGCAAATAGTTTACAAGCACAGGCTAGCCAACAACCGCATCATCATCATCATCATTACAATCAACATCATCATCATCATCATAATCATCATCCAAATCATAATCGATTACAAACATTTCAATCGGAATCCAGTATGATAACACCGAAAACAAATAGTCGTGAATTTTCTGAATGGTGGAAAGAACGTGCCGTAGCACCATCCGATATTGCACCAATGACAATGTTAACTCAATTACCAGCTTAAACAACAGAACATTTTTGTGGTTATAATTCATTATCATCATCATTATACTGGACTATAATGAAAAAAAACAAAGGGACATTCTTTTAGTGAACATCATTTAGATTTTTTTTCTATTATCTCTTTCTCTATCTCTCTCTTTCTTACTTTCTTTCTTTCTTTTACTCTTACTCTTTAACTCTTTCTTTCATTCCATTAATCATTGATTTAATGATTTTTAAAAAAATCCAAAATAAAGTTGTGTATAATTATAATTATATCATGTACAAATCATGTATGTGTTTATAGCCAACAGCTAAAAAAGATAAACATCCTTACAAGTTAGTTTATTTTCGAGTTTTCAATTTAATTGAAAGTTTTAAATGAGGTCATCTTCAAAATGTAGTGTGTGACTAGTGTTTAATATAAATAAAAGTTAATATCCAAAACATCGAGGGAAAAAAAATTAAAGATCAATGTTTCATTAAATTGATAATGAGAAGTGGAAATAATAAACAAAATAAATAAATAAAGATGTCGAAATAGATGACTAAAAATAATTTTGTTTATCGGATAAGTGTGTGTTATTTTAGTCTCGTCTTTTTTTCGGGCCTGTGAAACTGCGGTTATTCTTAATTTATAAATATACAAAAAAAAATATCATTCAATGTGTTTGGAATTCTGGTTTGGATGCATGAAAAAATAAAATGAATCACGAAGAAAGAAAAAAAAATCTGTTGATTTGTTTCATAAAATATCAAGGAAGACGAGAATTGTTGTTGTTTGGTTTTCATTTCGATCATATTTTTTGGCCTTGTGTGTCTGTGTTGATGGACATTAATCATCTCAGGTAAAATTAAATTTGTTAACAATATCAACAACCGACATTGAATCATTGATTAGATTGTGTTGTTGTTTTTGTTTGTCAAAATTATCACCAATGGCAGTAAATGAATGATTATGATGATTATTATCTTCTTTTGATGATTTTAATTCATCATCATCATCTGATAATAAAACATTATCACATTTAGTTGGTTCAATATAATTTCCAATCAATTTCCAATCAGGATAATGTATAAATAGGAAAATATCCGAATTTGGTTGTTCTGAAAAAAACAAAACAAAAAAAATTGAAAATATTATTCTCTGCAAGTTCAAAAAGAAAAATTGTACAAACTTCTTTTACGAATATAATCGGTACCAAAATTCAAACGAAATAAATGATTATTACGTTTCACTATTAATTGATTGATATTTTCAAAACGAATTTGTTCACCATCAATCATAATATAATGTTCATTTTTTAATTTTTGATGAAAAATTAATGGTGTACGAAATACTTTTGGTAGATCAGTAATTTGATGATGATAATTATTTGTTGAACGTAATTTTTTTGTTGGTGGTGGATAAACAACATTCGGATCATGAATAAATGTACGATCATCAATAATACCATCGAATAATGAATAATCGGATTCATATTTAAGTACCTGTAGAGTAGCCCAAATGAAATGAAAATCTTTAATAATCAAATGAAAATTACAAAATACCTTTTTATAATGTTCATTCAATATGGTACCAAAACGAAATGATTTATATTTTACATTGATTGTTAATTCTAATGGTCGTTTATCATTAACAATATTAATCAATGAATGTGGTGTATAATCATAATTATAACGTCTATATCTTGAATAATCAAATATACGAAATAGATCGGCTTTTGTACACGGGAATCCAATAGTTGCATAAATTTTTTCTGATTGTTTATCATCATCATTATCAACAGTATTTTGTTGTTCAGGAACATATAACAATGAAACTATAAACGGATCATTTGCCATTTGATTATAATCAATAAGATTATCATTAAATCGTGTTTTATTTGATAAAATTTGTAAAAATTTTATCCTTTCTTCCGGGTGTATGGCTAAATATTTACAAATATCATGCTTGATATTCATATGATCAAATAGTTTATCTGTGATCTCTATATGAGAAAAAGAGAATGGAAAAATTATTTTTTTAAGAAAATTCAAAAATTCATTTACCAATTTCAATTACAATTTCGATAATTTCTTGATATTGTAAAAATTCTTTTTCAAATTCAATTTCAATTCCATCATTCGGTATATGAACATAATCGGCCAAAATATTTTTATAATTTGAATTTAAAAAACGACATGCTTCAACACCAGTTTTGATTCTTGTTATAAACGATGCTGTAATCATATTAACACTATCCGGATAATGATTACCATTACTATCTAATGCATTTCGACAATGAGGCAGTTGTTCCAATTCCATTGATGTAAATGTTGATATCATCAATGAAAATGAACTTTGTAAATTATTATACATTTTTATATTCATATCAAATGTTTTGAATTGATAAATTTCATTTTTTAAAATTGAATGATCAAATATTCCTTTACGTAGATCATATATAATCGATGAATTGAAATATAGTATAAGTATCTGGCCAAGGGGTTAAATAAAAAAATTAGAATTTAAATCTGGTTTTTCAAGAAATGATGAAAATTTACTTACATTTTCCGAATAATTATCAATCAATGACCATGATCCACATGGATCAAGATAATAAGTTTCAAAAACTAGATGCATTAAACGATGATATGTATGTGTTGGATGTGTTGATGATAAATGATATTTTAAATGATTATTATTTTTTGTATTATTATTATTATTATTGTATAATAAATCATTTAATGGATTATTTAGCAGACAAATCTGTATGGATGTTAAATGCCATTTAATTGACATTGTTATTTGTAAATTTTCACGGCTATTATCCGTCCATACGAATGAACATATCCATGGTCGTTCAAAATTGGCAACTAAATTATCATCATTCGAATGAATACTAAAAAAATTCGAACCATAATGAAATGTAGACCATTCTTGAGCAATTTTTTCAGTCTTATTTTCATTATCGATAACTAAAAAATCAATCAATAAAATTAATGATTTTTGGATTCGAATTTTCGAAAAGATAAACTTACTTAGTTTAATTTTGGTCATACATTGTGATATTGATGCATCATCATCATTATTATTATTGATTGACATTCGTCTTCGTCCTCTTGAAATACGAAATGTATTTTGTCGTCCATGAAATGCAACCAGAAGATTTTGTTGTTGATATTCGGTTAATGTTTTATAATTATCGATAGTTAAACTATAACGATAATAATCTTCAATTTGTTGCATTTTGTCAAACAAACAAAAAACCGAAATTCGAATCCCAGTGAACAGTGAACAAACTTCAAACAATCAATTCGAATTTGTCATCGGAAAACGAATGCTAAACATGAAAAACATGAAAAAAATGAATAAATTTCTAATAATTAAAAATTGAATTAACAATTAAAAATAATAATATAAAAACAGTACCCAAATTCGAATTTGTTTGTTTGATAAACATAGTTTAGTTTAGCCGGAGATCATATGATTTGTATCATCGTTATTATCTCATTGGATGAGTAAAAAAAAATTTCCAAATAAAGAGAGAAGTATAAAATTATCTTTTAAAACTGATGATGATCCAAAATATAAAATAAATAAAATGCTTTTATTTAAAACAAAGAATCAAGATTTTTTTGTTTTGAATAGAATAAAATTTTTTTGTTTGTTGAGCAATTTGAATCACATGCTTGTTGCATTCGATTGGTTGCTCAATATTCGGTTCGCTATATATCGATACAATCGATTATTTATTTATAAACATTTTTTATCATTTAATTTCGATAGAATCGATTCTTTATCATTTTTTTTTAATTATCAGTTCAAATAATCAAGGTTCCGTTATATATCCTATATTCTTTTTTTCCCTCTAATTAGAATCACATTGGTGAATGTGTGAATGACCACTGTTCACTGTGTGTGTGTGTTTTATACAGGTATTTTTTTCAAACAACAGGTAAAATAGGTTCATTGGACCAATTTTTTTGTTTGATGATCATTTTTTCGTGAATTTGTATTGTTATGTTTGAAAAATATTGACCAAACAGTAGCCATAGTGAAACAAAATAATAATTGTAGAAGACGGTATAAGGGAGAAGGAAAAATTTTCACATGAAAATTTAGAACAAATTTTACGAAATCAAAAAAAAATAAAATCGTGCAACAACAGCAGCAATACGATACGCGGTCATTTCACGTGTGCGTTGGTGGTTGTAATTTTGGTCCGTTTTTTTCTTCTTTTTTTTTGGTATGTCAGACAAATCAATGTGAGAAAATTTTGAACGTGTTTTTCTTCGTTCGTTCGTTCGTTCGAAATGAAATCCAAATTCAATTCAATTGATAATGATGATCGTGTGTTATCGGGTGAGGGGGTCAGTCAATGGAATGATATAAACACACCTGCTTCAGTTACTGTTACTGTTGTTGTTGTTGTTTACGAGGCCAAAGCTACCCAGGACCCAGATAATAATAACTGCATCATCATCATCATTATATGTCAAAGGTCTTGACACACACAGGGGTCAATCATTAATCTAGTTTGGATCGGTTTTCTTTTCGTTTCGTTTCGTTTTGTTTGTTCGATATATTTGTTGTCGTCGTCGTTAGAAAAATGAAAAAATTTTCAGTGGGAAATTTTTTTTTTTCAATGCCAATTTGTGGGTGTACGAAACTTTGGATCGATTTTGGAACTTTGTTTGGAAAGTAAAAAAAAAAGTAAAATATTTTATTATTATTATTTTGATTGTTCGAGCAAAAAAAAAAGAACCGAACTTACCCTTTCTTTTTTTTCGAATTGGATTTTTTCGATTATTGTTGTTTGAAAATGAAAATTTCATGAGAACGAAATTCCAGAACAAACAAAAAAAAAATTCACCGAAAAAATGTTTAAAAATTTGATAAAATTCAAAATTTTTTAGCAAAAAAAATTTGATTCGTTCGATTTTTCGAACGAATCAAAAAAAATTCGAATTATAACTTTTGAATCCGAGCTTCGACCACTGGATGGCGTTGCATGATTCGAATTCGAATTCGAATCAAAAAAAAAAAAATTCGAATCTTTGGCCTTCGAATTCGTTCGATTTGAGATTTTCAAGTTTAACCGAAAAAATATCCGACAATAATAATAACCGAAACAACCGAAAATATCAAATTTTTTTTGTTTATTTATCGGGTAAGCTAATAAAGTATGATAGATAAATATTTTTTTTTTTTTTTGTTGATCAAATATTTACTTGTAAAAAATGTTTCTCAATCAAAAAAAAAAAAAAAAATTAATTANAAAAAAATACCCGACAATAATAATAACCGAAACAACCGAAAATATCAAATTTTTTTTGTTTTTTTATCGGGTAAGCTAATAAAGTATGATAGATAAATATTTTTTTTTTTTTTTTGTTGATCAAATATTTACTTGTACAAAATGTTTCTCAATCAAAAACAAAAAAAAAAATTAATTCAATTTCTATTTCATTTTCCCTCCCATTTTCATTTTCAACAGAATTTTTATTTTCCAACCAAGTGATAACGTTATTAACAACAACAACAACCGAATTCGAAACATTCAAGAGAATAACATTTTCTGGAAAAAGATTATTTAATTATTTCTTAAGAAAAATTTTTACAGAATTACGTGGGGGTGGTCGCCAGTTGTTCATGAAAATGCTCAACAACAACAACAAATATCAAGATGAAGACCAAAGAAACGAAAATCAAAATGATAACCATTTTTATTTATGGTATTTGTTTGATCAAAAATGAAATGAAATGTTTGTTTGTTTGTTTGTTTGTACATAATCATCATCATGATCAACATGGTAAACATCATGCAATTCGGATTAAAACCAAACATTAACAACAACAAAGTATTAGTAATATCGTTACTGAAAACATCCAAAATCTTCATGTAAACATTATCATCATCATCATGGTAACCATCACCAACAACAGAATGGCCATGATCATCCATCGAAACACACACACACTTCAAACAAACAAACAAATCAATGACATTTGACCGAAAACATTTGCTTGAAAAAATGGAGAAAATCTTTTTTGAGAATTATTTAAGATGCTTTTCTTCAATTGCAAAATTCGGCATCTTTTTGCTCATCGATTTGTGTTTGCATGATGTTTATACAAACCAAACACACACACACACACGAAAAAAAGCAAACAACAAGTTTTATTTCATTTGGTTGGTGATTCTTTCTCTCCTTCGATGGATTCCAAAAAAAAAACCAATCTTCTTCAAAAAGTCGTTTTCAAGTATGTATTTTTTTTTTGTTGTTTTTGTTGGTTGTATAAAGTAAATGTTTATTATTCATTCGATAAGCCGGATATGATGATATGATAATATTTTTTAGTCATTCAAACGATAATAATATCGATGTATAGTGGTGGTGGTAGTATTATGGTCAATGAAAAGATGGTAAATATTTGATGGAAATATTGGCCTTTGGCTATTTTTTCATTTTCGCTCATACAGCACACAAACGAACAAATAATGTTAAAATAGAATCGAATCAAATGAATGAATGATTTATGGTAAAAATAGCCACAAAAGATTATCCCGACATTCGAAATTGATTCAAAATTGAAAAAATTCCTGATTCTAGAATATTCTGTTTTTGAATTATTAATTTGAAGAAAAAAAACAAAAATTCAAACTTTTCAAACCACACACAAAATGTGCAAACAAACAAACAAAAAATTTGTCCAATATAAACATTCATTCAATTCATTTCAATGTCCAATTGAATTTGTGAATATTTTCCGAAAAACCAAAGACCAAAATCTAAACATTCAAATCAAAATCGAAAATTTCAGCTTAATAAGTAAGTAAGTAAGTCAGTCATTAACATCAACAAAGTTCACCACCATCAACATAAAGAATCTTCAAACCACACAACAAAAAAATATCATTGAATTATGTGATTCTTTGTAAAGAATTTTTTTCGCCTGTCATTGACTTTGTGCACACAACATTCATTCATTTTGATTCTATAAACTAGCTTTTTGGTGATGGTTAGCTTATTATTTATTTATTTATTTTATTACAAAATTTGATTGAATTAGACGAAAAAAACTTACATAAACATAAACATAAAAACACTTATTTACAAATTGATCAATTGAGGGTTAATAACCCTGATAATCAACTTTGATGATGATGAAGATTGCATAATAATAATAATCCATTATTTAATAGAAATCCGATGAAGAACAAAATCAAACATTGTCCCCTGACGAAAAAAAAATCAACAAAAGACAACATCAGAGAAAATAAGGTTAGAAAGTCACCAATCTTACCAAATTCAAATTGAAAGACTTTTCTTTCATTTTCAATTTATGGATGTTTTCATCATCAAATTCTCGAAAACAACCCAGTCAAATAATATTTCACCATAAAGCATCCATTTTTTTCCTGTCTTGTCATTATCATCAACAACAAAAACACAGAAGCAAAAGACAATATTGTGTAGACATTAATCAATCATATAATAGGATAAAGGATGTGATTGGTGATGATGATAATGATGCCCATTCATAAAGTTCGTGATCCTATTATTATCATCATAATCAAGAGATAATGACCCTGATTTTTGTAAAAGGAAAAAACTTTTGTCTATTTTCATTTCTTTTTTGAAAAGTTTTTTTAATTTTTTTCAAAGCTTTTGTTTTTTCTTTTCTCCCGAAACAGAGTTTCCACCCAGGTTTCCACCATGGTATATATTCAGGTAAAGAACGTTGGTTAGGATGGTTGGTTTGAAGGTTTAACCCTGTTTTATTCAATGGTTTGAAAGAAAACAAAAGAAAAAAAGTTTTTTTTAATCTTTTCATCATCAACATTTTAAACAATGTAAGTTTTTTTTTCTTTCTTTTCCATGAAAAGGATGTAAGGAAATGCTGATGAATAATGAGGGTACCTTATTGATGAGTTACGTAAGTATTAAAAATGATGAAATGTTTTGAATCAAAAAAAAAACTAAGTTTTCGTTCACCCGATATTTTCTGATTTAATCACTGACCATTAGCTAAGGTGGCAAAAAAAAAACGGTTTCTTCACTCACTCTCTGCCAATCAATCAAAATCAATGACAAAAACTTGTTTTTCGAGGTTGCTGATTTTTTAGAAAATTAAATTTAGCACCCCAAACAAACAAACAAGTAATGGCCCAAATCATCAAATGTTATAATTAGTTAAATGGAAAACAAATGAAACGAAATGAAACACAGAATATATCAATTTAACCATTCAGTCGTATCATCAGAAAAAAAAGACAAAGATGAACAGCAGCCAACAACAAAAAGAAAGAAAGAAACCTTTTTTGGAACAAGCAC